TCCTGCCGCGTCTGAAGCGGGGCTCGTAAAGAGCCCAGTTCATCTCCAGGTATCATTGCCGGAGGTAGGCGCATGCTTTCAGTAAAAGCCTCGCATCTCCACAGGTCGTTGGCGGCAGGCTTTACAGGTATTCTTGGATGTTCAGCCGCCACTTCTGATAGCACCAGCGGTGTCTCTCACGTCAACGCTGCATTCAGCTACCAGGGTTTACGTGACAGCACGCAGGGCCGCTGGAAATCCACTGGCCCACCTCTATGCGGTTCAGACGTCTCGAACACAGAACCAAAGGAGAAGAACCAGCCTTTTTCTTCTTCTGCTTCTTCACCCTAGAGCAAGGCTCGTACCCAATACAGGGATTAACCGAGTTGTAACAGAACTGTTCCAGAATTATCCTTGCAGAATTGGTTGTGTAAGCTAAATTGGGCTAATATATTGAAGCGAAGTGAACTTCGAGCGGATGCGCAAAGTGGCGTGAGGTACCTCTTTTCTTCTTCTCCTCGGAGACAGCCATCTATAACAGCCTAGAAATGCAGAGAGGGAGAAGTGAGCTAAGTGGGCAATGATGATGATGATTTCCAGAAGAATGGCACAACCCACCACATGGGATCAGCAGCGAAGTGTGCGACAGTAGAATTTAGGAAAAAAAGTGAAATAAAAATGGAGACAGGGAGAGAGGAGGAAAAGAGGGGAACGAAGGCGGAGAACTGACGTATCGCCATTTTTGTTGACGTCGTCGAAGTGACTTGTGAAATGATTGTAATTAAATTCATGAAGAGTTTCTTAGTTGTTTAACAGGTGTATATGTACAGCGAACGTCACTAACCATCCGCACGGTATTCAGGAAGTCGGAGGCGTGGCTTGCGAACGAGGCCAAGCAGAGCGAGAGAGAGAGAGAGAGAAGACTTTATCGAATTATCTGCTGGACGGCTATCCTGGGAGAACCAAACAGTTTTGCTTGACCAGGTCCATCGAGCCTCTCATGCCAGCGGAGCCCTGGACTGAAGGCCCAACCACAAATGCCTGCATTTATCCTTTTTTCATGATGGTTCAGCGAACTGGGAGCGCGGGACTAAACACAGACACAAAGCAAAGAGGAGGCACACAGCACGAGCGCTCAACTATCAACTGGTTCATTCTCACGTTCAGAGCACATATAAGTACACAAAGGTGCGCATGTGAACATGTGCGCATGGAATAAGATGATAGAGTGAGCAGCAAGCGTGGCGTTCATTCAAAGCACTTGTCTACAAATCATCAATGGAGTTAAACTCACAGTCAAGCAGTGATCATGACGGATGGCTGATACACTGATTCTTATTTCTAGAAATGTGATATGCTTCGGAAATATCACGCGTCGTTTGAAGTGGATGCCGGAAAAGTACACTTGTTTTTTCATACAATGGTTGACACTTGCAGGAATTGCAATGTGAAGCTAAAACAGAAAAATAGGACTATACTTTAAGGAACTCAAATGCTCCCAGAGGCGTATATTCAAACATCGCCCGGTCTGGGCGATGTAGATGAGCGGTATGCTATACACCACTCCTAAAAACACTTAACAAATTGTTTTGTTTGTTTCTGCAAACATCCTCCGCTTTTTGACGCGCCCTGCGCCTTCCTATCACCCTGGCGCAAATGCGGCCCAATTTATTGGGTGCAGAGAAAACAACGCACACACCAAACCGGTTCCCATGCGGCAATTTATGAGTGTAAGGGATGTCGGTCACGCGTTTGTTTCCTTATTTGCATTCTGCACCGTTTCTCACCAATGTAGAAGCCTCTCACACACCGATGCTATAAGATATGGCGAATACCCGTTTTCCGTTTTAGCTTCACATTGCGATTCCTGCAGTTGTCAACGGTTCTTTGGAAAAAAACAATTGTACTTTTCCGGCATCCGCTTCAAACCACGCGTGAAATTTCCGAAGCATATCACATTTCTAGAAATACGAATCAGTGTATCAGCCATCCGTCATGATCACTGCTTGACTGTGAGTTTAACTCCATTGATGATTTGTAGACAAGTGCTTTGAATGAACGCCACGCTTGCTGCTCACACTATCATCCTATTCCTGTTGACATACGCACCCTTGTGTACTTATATGTGCTTCTAACGTGAGAATAAACCAGTGGTCAGTTGAGCGCTCGTGCTGTGTGCCTCCTCTTTGCTTTGTGTCTGTGTTTACCTCCGCGCTCCCAGTTCGCTGAACCAACATGAACTACCAACTAGCCCACCTTTCCATCCTATTGCATTGTATCCTTTTTTTTCTGAATGATGTGAAATTCCGGCATCTGCGTCCACGTCATTGATTGTAAGCGAAAAATGATTCTTGCGTGACCAAAAAGTCAAGAAAGAGGCAGATGTATAAATATTACGAATTCTGGGTCTGAGTGGGGATTGAACCTGAGTCGTTTGCGTTGAAACCAGGCGTGCTATCTCACAGTCGCACCTCTGCTATTGCATACATTGAAGTTAACCTCCTCTGCTTGAAAATGCCGTTAAAGTGACACATGCTTTAAAAAACCACGCGTTATGTATGCATACTTCGCAATGCAGCATGAAATATTGCCGTAATTATGCGTGGTAGAAGTGTACATTGCCATAAGAACACGCGAGTATCGCAATGACTTCAGCGTTTTAAGCCAGTCACGCACTATAAAAGGCACACACGCTACTGCACCCTTAAGGCCTCGTAGTGGGTGCATAGCAAGTTAAAAAAAATTCATATACTAAAGTATGCGCTAGGACCAGAATATCACTACCGCATTCAACACTCGGCAAACCCCCAATTTTTATCCCTTCTCCTCCTTTTTCTCCTACGAAGAATATGCATTTATTTAAAATAGCAATAATCGAAACAAATAATGTGAATAAAGATACCTTAAGTTTGTATTTCGTGTACAATCTTGAAAAATCGTCTTCTTTTTCAGAAATTTACCGCAATTATTTCCAGCGTTTCGTTAACAATGAGACAGAATAAGCCTTATTCGTCAATGAATAGATATATGGAACGATCGTGCAATATATGCTCAACGTAATAAATAATTTCTAATGCCAGACGTCGCGGTTTCAGAGAAGGATAGAAGGGCATTTTATTTGTAGAAGTGTGAGTCGTCTCAATTTCTCATAGGGCGTGGTTATAAGCATGGCTTCTCCTCAGGTCACGTGACCGTTGGAAAAGCTGACGCTGCTCCTAGAACTGGGAGTTGGTAAGCAGGCTCCAAGAAATCCATGATCATTTCTTCTTTGACAGCTGATGTTAGCATCTGTTTTCAGTATGGGCAACGATAACTATGATAATTTGTCCAAGGTGGTTGCGCTGAACATCTGGGGTACTTTACGATCAAAAGCCAAATTGGCAACCACACTGTGCATGAAAAAGGCCACGCGCGCTGTAGGCAATACGCGCTGTGGCTGTTATGTAAACTTGGTCAACAACCTTCCGGGGTACGCCAAGACAATCTGCTTATGAATTAATGTATGTTTTCTTGTCGGCTTCTATAAAATTTGGCTGCGTTTTTATACTCTGAATTGTGGGTGGCGCGCAATATGGATTGTCTTGTTCCTTAGAGTGAGAGGATGTTCTAAGTTTTGATGAGAAACCGAAATTTACTGAAAACAATTTTTAATGGCAAGAAGCCCGAATCCCCAGATTCCACGTCGTCACCATCCCGGCTGCGGCGGCTGCGCTTCCGATGGAGGCGGAAATGTTGTAGGCCCGTGTGCTCAGATTTGGGTGCATGTTAAAGAACCCCAGGTGGTCGCAATTTCCGGAGCCCTCCACTACGGCGTCTCTCATAATCATATGGTGGTTTTGGGACGTTAAACCCACATATCAATCAATCTCTGTGTCATAAGCTTTGATTGATGTGCAGTTAAATGTATGTGCTATTATCGTGGCGGGGCATATGACCGGAGTAAAAAAAGATAGTTTACAAGAGCAAGACAGAAGGCTGTGAACCAGAACAAAATAGAAGGCCACAGCACTATAAGAGTTAAACAACGAGAACCTCAACAAGCTACCCCGGAGTGGAAGGTGCAGCAAGCGTTGTGTACCGGAGATGGAGACCGGGTGGACAATGTCACTGGTGATCGTCGGTAGCACCAAACCATTCCGCAGCGCTTCATTCACTCGTCATAATTCACCTTGTGAAGATGCGGGGATACGTTTATTAACATTATCGCATTTAATTAACCGATGTTTGTTGCCACCACTTCCGAGTAGAAATAAACTGTGAATCACCTGTGGCGCATAGCCTCATACCGCGTATGCAAGCAGGTGGCACAGGTGTTTACAGAAGAGGGTTTGACGACATGGGTGACGGGATTATCACGTTATTCATGTCACGACCAGTCACACATCTTCGTCGATCACTCTTGCCTTCACACACCAATTTTAATTTTTGCCTTCCCCAGGCTAAGATGATGACGATCGCCAAATAACCGAGGCGTGTTCTGGTACAGAGAGAGATACGTAAATAAAAAGGTTCACTGTGCCTGCCGTAGGCTAAGAAATGATTCGCATTTAAACACTAAGAAATAGAGGGAGGAAAGTATGGCCTAACTCTGCTAAACAGCTACAGCCAGAATTGCTTAAGTGTCCACCAGTTCGGCTGTCTCTTAAGCACAGTGCTTCTAGTGCTTTTACGCATTTTTTCTTCAACGCTTGAGTTCACGTTTTATTCGCTTTTGTAAACAAGCGCGAGAACTTCCCAGCAATCAGCCACATTCTAATATAAATACTAAATTCGACCACCAGCAATAAGGTGTCCGTGCGGTTGTCGCTGTCGGCCAGGTCAAAGATTTTTTTTTTGAGGTTAAAACAGCCTTAGGCTCACCCTGCCACGGTCCACTAGAAAAGGGGCTGTGTCACCTAAGGTAAGGTGCAAGGACATCCGTCCTTGAGCTCCAGTACGTCGAGGTAGCTATCAAGGACAGTCAGGCTAACAAGCCCACAAGCAAACCGCAAATGCTCGTCAAGCTCGAGTAGCTTCAGGCTTTAGTGGTCCGATGGTGTCACCTCATGCAGTGACCTTGAACCACCTATGGCGCATATGGGGGACAGCCGCGTGATTCTATCTTCTAGATCAGAAGGCAGACTCCAACTAATGCGCGTGACACCACCATCCCTGATAGGAGTCGACTGCAGGACCATGTGAAGAGGCATTGCGGAAGAGGGCTCTTCCATAGAGTCGTCGGTCGTTGGGCTTAGCGGTTGACAGCTCCGACTCTCGTTGTTTACTTCTTCTTCAGGGGCGTTGGAGAACAGCCTACGCTTAACGGATCTGCGGCTAGTGATCTCTTCACGGCCTATTTGTCTGTTTTCAACCGTGTCCCTCAAAACTGTACAAAGGTCAACCTCTGGGAGCTCTGAAGGTGTCGCCCGGCTCCACATTCTGGCTGTGTGGAGCTCTCGTCCCATTTGTATGCCACAGTTTTCACCAACGACTGCTCGAGTTGCACTCGACACCCGCAATATAGGCTCCGATGGCGACGGGACGATTTGCTGGGATGAGAAGAATATGTCGATGGCCTGCTGCAACTGCTCCTCAAACGGGTCGTAGCTTTCTTCTGGCTGGACAGAACTTAGCTCTTGTTCATCAATGTTAAGCGGGAAAAGCTCGGCCATCTGTTCGATTGACCATTTGAACGAGCGCGATGATGACGGTGGTTCAGGGCTTCTGGAACGAAACATTGATGGTGAACAGAGTCGTTTACTGAGCTGTTCTGAGTGCACTTCAAAGGGGTTGGTTCTCTTGTAGCAGTTGTTGTTGCTGCAGATGCTATTGCTGCTGCGGCAATGTATGCCGTACCTAGGCTGCGGCTCCTCACCCGCTGTTACGCTGCTGACATTGTGGGGCGATTCGCGTTCGTTGAATGAGAAATGAACCTCTCTAGCGTCGGTGCTAGCATCACGGCTGCTGGTTCTGTTGCGCAAGAGAGACTGCGAAAATTCGGCCATTGTCGCCGCTATGCCAACACGACGCAGTTCTCTCATTATTGGCAAATTTCGGCGCGGAGCTGCTGCCGCGTCTGAAGCGGGGCTCGTAAAGAGCCTAGTTCATCTCAAGGTATTGTTGCCGGAGGTAGGCGCATGCTTTCAGTAAAAGCCTCGCATCTCCGCAGGTCGTTGGCGGTAGGCTTCACAGGTATTCTTGGATGTTGAGCCGCCACTTCTGATATCACCAGCGGTGTCTCTCACGTCAACCCTGCATTCAGCTACCAGGGTTTATGTGACAGCACGCAGGATAGCTGAAGGTCCACTGGCCCACATCTATGCGGTTCAGACGTCTCGAACTCAGAACCGAAGGAGCAGCGTCGGCCTTTTTGTTCTTCTGCTTCTCCACCCTAGAGCAAGGCTCGTACCCAATACAGGGATTAACTGAGTAGTGAGAGATCTTTTCCAGATTTTTTCTTGCCGCATTGGTTGTGGAAGCTAAATTGAGCTAATATTTCGAAGCGAACCCTATCGGAAAAATTGCCATGGAGGATACTGAAAAACACGGTGGGCGTAGTGGAAATAATAGTGGGCATGGTGGAAATTATGATGGCTATGGTGGGACGTAATGGAAAATATGGTGGTTATGCCGGGACATACTGGGTGGTATGGTGTAAAGATGATGGGTAAAGTGGAAATGATGGTGGAAAGCAGAGGCTACATAGTGGTCAATAATGGGACACTCTGCCCACCATTGCGATAATGCTGGGAAGCCCTAAGCATATGGTGGGTGGTGCTTATTATGGTGGGCTACATGGTGTACCAAGCTGAGAAACTCTTCCCACCATTGCGATAATGCTGGGAAGCACTGAGCAGATGATGGGTGCTGCTTGTTATGGTGGGCCACATGGTGTACCAAGCTGAGAAGCTCCGCCCACCATCGCGATAATGCTGGGAAGCAGTAAACAGATGATGGGTGGGCTTATAATGGCGGGCAATTTAGATAGTGTACCAAGCTGGGATCTGTACATTACATGTTCTAACACCATGATTTCCACCAAAGGTTAGGCCTGCTCACCGAGCCCGTACAATTGTGTTATCCATGCTTCCAGGTTTCAGAATAAACGATTACGACGATTAAGTATGACAATACAGCGCAGCCATATGGCATCAATTAACCTAAATGAAGCATTTTTCATTGTGTATGGTGTCCGCTCAAGAAGCAACGAACATCGATGCGACGCGATTAAAGCACTCCCAGAGAACGTAATTAAGTGTCTTCTCAACGACAGCCGCCGGTCGCACTCGCCAGCACTTCTCTAGCTCTTGTACGAGAACTCAGACATGGCAATTCGTGTGCTTGGTGAACTAATATGATAGCATAATGTTTCCGGCACACTGCATTCGTTCTGGCCAAGCCGTTATGTAGTTGTTGCTTTAGCGAAAGAGCTACAGCATTGCGCTGGCGCGACCGCCCTCTACATTGCGCGAAAAGCATCCCAATACTCAATCAAATAAATTAGGCGAACGTATCTATGGAATGAGCCTAGAAGCGTCATAAAGCGTGATCAGATGTCGCCCTTTAGAACGAGCGCGAAACGGATATTAAACTTGGCAGACCCCGCCGGTAAACTGTTGCTGCTCCCCAGTTCACTTGGTTTTTTTTTCCTTGAAGTTGTGAATTGTAAAAAAAAATAGCACTAGTGCCATTAACATAGTGGCAATAGTTACAGGCCGCAGTTGCTTGTGTTTGATAAATGTGCAATTTTTCATAACCACATGTAGTACCGTCCACTTTTTTCATGGTGGACGGTACTACATCTTGTTTTTCGATTACTCGTGCCGAGTCTTGTGGGATGCATTCACATTAGTATATACACAAAAGCAACTTTACTGGAATGTCCCTAATGTTAGTGGTATGTGCAAAAGGTCTCATCTAGATTACAGCCGTTATTAGGAGTTTTCGGCTCCTCGCGGCTTACTCGGCCCGCGCCTGGACAGCCCAAGTTTGTCGCAAGGGCAGAGCTGTGCAACAAGCACTCGCGGAGGCGATTCTAGAAAGTGGTTCAAGAATCCCAGTTTTTGCATTTGTCGCATATATCTGGGTAGAGGTGCGAGGTCGGACAGACCGCTCTCGCTCTTAAAATTCACGTAGAGTGGTGTCAGTATGGGTGCCAGGCCGTCGCGGCATATCTAACACACTTCGCTGATCCCGAATGGGAATGGGAAAGCCAGGCATAGATGAGGATACAGGCGCCTGCGACTCTAGAAGACCAGCCCACCAGCCTATACTGCGTGGCAGAAATAAGTAGGGCACCTTAGCACGTGCGACACGAGACGCATTAATTGTTAAGCGATGCGCACAACTCTTACGGTTATAAGACAGTTTGCGCCTTGCTCGGATCGCTGCGATCTTTATCCCCTTATACCCCGAAAGCGATGTAGCTTTCCAGGCACAAATAAATATAATAATTCGCTGGGCTGTTTTGGGAGATCAATTGTAAGCAAGCGGGTGTGCTCAGCGATGAACCGCCACAGCCGCGTTTCTCAAGTTTACGCACGCGATACACCACGGTGGAGATCACATGCGCTTTATATGAACGTCATTGGTCGCGGCTCAGAATGAGCGTGAGGAATGAGTTACAGCTCTGTAATGAAGTTGCCAAGTCTCCTTGTGTCGGTTCACATTACACGAGAGACCCACATCCAAGCTCTTGTAGGTACATGACATGAAAACAGAAACGGCCAGTGATCGCATGTGCTGATCAAAGGCAGATCAGGAGCATCGAAATGTCATATGTGGCAAAAGTTATCTTTCGTACAATTATTCACAGTAATACGACTTCAAATTTCTGATGGCAAAGTACGCTACAGCTGGCTTTGCAACCACCACTGAAGAGCACGAACTTCAGTGCATCCGCCTCGAGCAATGAGCCAGAGCAGTCTACTGCACTGACTGCATACTGTCATCACGTTCTGTAGCGACACCGTTCCCTAACTACACGGCACCTTCACGAGCCCTAAAGCAGGCCTGAGTGTCGTCGCCGTACGATGGGAAGACGAACAAAGCGCTAAATGAGCGATTCAGAAGCAAATTTAAAAGAAACTCTAAGTGCTTCAGTTCAGCGTCCTTCACTTCATAAGTAGCAAGCATTCGAGTCCAATCGTATCGGTAAGATGCTGCTGTAACAGCAAGTCTCCTGTGGCGAATACGTTTTGATAGCAATTCTACACAAGGTGGATGATTTGAAAACTACGACGAAATAATTATCAACGAAATAAATATATAAAAATTGTAAATGTAACTGGTGAAGAGAGAATCAATCTTCGAAAAAGGTAAGTGTGCAATAACAAAAACTACTAACTATACTGAAGTTAAATGGCACCACAGTCTGTGTAGCTAGTTTCAAAGAACTATTGCATCGCCATGTGGGTGGTTGTTCCGATGGCGAGAAGGCGGCACATAAGTCGTGCCTTCCGAGCTGGGCCACATTGTTCAGCCGGTTCTGACGACCGCCATGGAGGAGGGTGCGCTGCTTCTTGTAGTCGTAGTGCTGTGAGCGGCTGGTTGGAACCAGTCCAGGTCGCTCGGCAGGTGGTAGCGCATCATGGTGGTGATTGAGCATTATGGGCCGGGCCCTGTTGGAAGGATGCCCGGTAGCGTCATCTCGCGCACCGTGCTGGGGATGTACGAGGGCCCCGTGTAGAGCTCGTGCGTTTTTGAGCACTGGACAACGCCCTGGACCAGGATCACGTCCAGCACGGGCCTCGTCGAGCGAGAAGTCGATGGCGTAATACAAGTTGGGCATGATGCCGTTCTCAGGAAGCGCTTCAGCTTGTCGTGCGTCCCACTCCTGCCGAGCGGGAGAAGCACATGCGTGAGTCCGCAGTGCCACCAGTTTGTTTTTTTAACTGTCGAAATCCTTCGATGCGTCATGAAACGCAAAAACTCACCATCTGTACTGGCGGCGTTCAAACGAGTGGCAGCGTCAACAAGTACTCGCTATCTGTTCATGACGTCAACATATACGTCGTCGAAAAAGTCGCAGATTGACAATACTCATGACTTAATGATGTAGTCACTATTGAAGTCGCATGACGGGGACGTTACCTGATGACGTAATCACATACTATCGTCACTTGGTTTAAGGTATGCTGATTATGGAGGCAATGTAAAACTCGTTAGTTGTATGAAGCTCTCGAAGGTACCGTTAAGCTCACATTTTGAACAAAATGTCAGCTACCGTTGCCATTCGAAAGTATTTCTCCACATACGATATATGGTTTATTTTAGGGGTTCGACATCAGAAAACAAGTGGATATCGATGCCCACAACACCTTAAATGTCAACCCCAGTTATGAAATACAGAGTTTCCGTTGTACAGTTATGTTCCAAAGCATATCGGTCGAATGGGGTTCCTCCAGAAGCTGCTTGAGACAAGTCATATTTGTGTAGCTCATGAACTTACTTATTAGGAAATTTAAAGCATGCCAATAAAAGGCAGTCATGAAGGTGCGGGGGCGTTTTCGATATGTCTGTGAGCTGCATGTTTGAGATCCTAAAAAGGCCGACGTGCGACATGCGTTATTAGCCTTGGAGCGCTCACAAACGTGAAGTCGTCTTCGGCGTCAAAATGTTGTGATGCAAAAAGCCAACGCAATGTGAAGACGTCCTTATTACGTCACAAATCGTAAGAACTTGTGACGTTATTTTGACATCATGACGTGATGTCTTCACGACAATTTCTCGGGCGGAAATTTGTACCATTATTCTCGAACTCGTCTCGGCATTCATTGCTACTCGCGTTCTCTTATTATATAAAGCTGTCTCAAAATTGTCGCACGGCCCTTTAAACGGTCGTCAGTGGAGCGCTGCCGCAATCATTGAACACAGATACGTAATACGTTCCTACAATACATAATTGAACTTATTTGCTGACAGTTGTTAGCTTTTACAGTCTAATAACACTTTTCAGAACCTCCAGATATTCCGTTAACTTCATGATAGACTGTACAAGAGTTAGAAACTAACATCTTATTAGTGGTGCACTCTTTAAGTAGGTCATAAGTGTGGAAAGCGGATAGGCAAGAACACTTTATTGAAGAACATAGAGGCGAGATCGGTAGTGCAAACGTTTGTTTTTCACTACACCGAATCGTGCCAAGTTGACACGGTAGTGTTCTCACCCAACTAGCAACGCGACTTTGACTTATTGCCAGTACATCACTTCCGATACCTGCGTTGTTCTTAAAATCGGTTACACAACAGTGCAGGCAACGTCTATCTCTTGTTGCGTTTAACGCCAGGTGATTTCTCGTACCGAAAAATGCGCCTGAAGAACAGCGCACGCTGTTGTTAGTTCTAAGGCGTTATTATGAATTTGGAAATTTTGAATCTATCAAAGCTACAGACCTACCTGGTACCGCTTCTGCTTCACGAGCACGGCAAGCCCGATGCGAATGGCGACGCTGAACCACATGCGGTAGACGAGGTTCGGTGCCTCCGGGAGCTGCTCGACCAGCGTTGTCATCTCCTCCATAGGGATGCAGCACATTTCGACGTCCGTCTCGCACGCACACTGGCACACCGACGGCCTCGACGTCAGGAAGCCCAACAGGCCGAGACTGTCGGGCGCCACGAGGTAGTCCTGGAAGGCTCCTTCGCAGAAGTAGAAGCGCGTAGAGTCCGAGTTGGCGAGCTGCACGGGGTTCGCCCAGGGCTCCTCGTTGCAGCCGCTCACCCGGACGATACCCGAGCAGATGATGAAGACACAGTCATGCATGTTGTTCTTTTCCACCACTAGCTCACCTTCCTTCAGATATTGGTAGAAGCAATTGAGCAGCTGCGGCACGACGTCGCACGAGAGCCACGGCACGCTGAGCATCGTGTTGAATGCTGTGTTGCCCACGGTCACGTTGGCGGGCATGCCATCGGCGCGCTGGATCATCCACGACAGGTTGGAGAAGAGCAGGCTGAACTGCTTGTCGTCCAGTAAACCCCCTTTGTGCAGCTCCCTGAGGCCGTCGAACGCCTTGTTAAGGATCTTTCGAGCTGCCTGGCGAGTCTTGGTTGCCACTTCGATATTGGGGTAGCGCTGCTGGATGTCCACAACGTTTTTGAGCGTGTGCAGCTTGTTCAAGCCACTATTCTCGCGTATGGAAGCCGCCAACTGGGGTATGGCGACGAAACGGGATACCTTGTTCATCGCCTCGTCTTCAGCTGTGATGTAGGCCCAGCTAAGGTCATACGCGTAGAACAGTTTGCGGTTCAGCAGCCAATTCAGCATGTCCCATATCCACAGGAATAGCACGACGCGTTTCTGCAGCATCTTCACGATCCGACACGAGATTACTGTGATGAAGCTTATCTGCAGGACGCTGGTGTAAGTGGCGTCAGGCTTGGTGCCGCCGCTCACGGAGGTCATGCTGATGAGAAAGAACTCGATCACGACCAGGAAGTACATGATAACATCAAGCTGCTTCCAAAGATTCTTACCCATGCGCAGCATGCCAAGGGTGTACACCAGGATGACCATCTCTATCGAGTAGAGCAGAATGTAAGCTGCTTGCACTGACGTGGTGATCGACAGGAGTAGCTCGTACTGGGACGGATCCGAGCGCTTTTTGATTATAAACAAAGCCAGGCCACTGAGCAGCAAGACGAAGCCCAAAGCAACGAATCCGACTAGCGCATGGTACCAGCCTTCCTTGAGCATGGCTGACAGGAGGCTAATGTGCTCTATGTCCTCTTCGTCATCTTCCGTACGTAAGTGGGTGGAACGTCTTGTATTGTATTGGCGCTTTTTGATGGCTTCGTTACCGGCGAATCTTTGCACCAAGTCCTTAAGCCCATAGATCCAACTGGGGACGGTCACGAAAGGCTTCATCATGGTGTAATCCAGGGAGACTTCCATCTCCATAGCATACTGCAGGGCGGCCAGTATCTTGCTCTTAGTTTTGCTGTGAATCATGCCATCCTCGTATTGCTTGTTGCAACAAACCTTCTGAAGCCGAAGGATGAAACAACTGGCCTTCCTTGCAGCAGCATTCCTGTAGGCAAGTGCCGGCAAGTCTGTCTGCTCAGCGTGGTCGTCTTCGTCGACGTCTTCATAAGGGTTTTCAATACACGTGTGCATCTGAACCCACTTCCAGTCGGCACCCGAGAACTTCTTGTCTCGTCGCTGAAAGTTAGTTGATGAACTCGCTGTGTTTCGAAGCGCGATTATAACCATGTTCATGTTGGCCCTTTCCACGTCCGTCAGTGCCAGTAGCCCGAGGATCGACATTAGCTTTGGCAGTGTAGTGGTATTCAGGACTTGCACAAGGAAGAGCGTGCCCAGGCGAACAAATTGTTCCTGGAGGGCGTGCTTGAGGTTGATGGTCGGAAAAGCTCTGGTCAAGTCCAGGGCGATCATTATGGCGCCCTTGAAGTTCGCCCAGGCCACAATCAAGCACTGCTGCCAACTCAGGCTATAACCCACTGATGCCAACAGCGGATACAACACGATTATGGTGACAAACCGGACACCGATCTTGGCAACGTACGCGTTGACTGGGCTCATTATCTCGTGCCACGACAGAAACTCTCGCGAGTCTCGGCCTATCCAAAAAGCAGACAGGAAGATGATGACGATTTCGTAGCCGTACCTGATGAGCATCCAGAACTTTCTGATCGATATCGGATTGTACACAGTGGCATCTGCATGGGAGCTAGCGGCGAGACCCATCGAGAGGATGGTGCTGATGCCAGCACCGTACATAAACTGCTCGGCGAAGGCCCACGTTGCTATAACACTGATAGCACTCACCATGAAGCAGACGGGAAGGTCCTGTGCCAACGCTATCATAACCATCGCGAGTGCTTGTCCCAGCGCCCTGCCCATCAACGGCCCGATGAACAGCGTAGACGTGACTGTCCTCAGGAAAGCGTAAATAGTCAACTTCTCCGGCAGCGTGCTGAACCGGTAGGCCATCCAGAGAACGGTGGCTCCAATGAGCGGCTCTCCCATGATGATGGTCTCGAGTATGTGCGAGCGCGCCAACGACAGCGCGTTCATGTCGGACACGAACATAAGCTCTGGACAGCACGTGAGCAAGCTGATGAGCCCCGTCTCGGCCAGGTGCTGTTTTTCGGCGTCGCGCATACCCGACATGTACAGCATGAAGAGCATGGTGCTCAAGAGCAGACCACCGAAACCAAGCAGCACGCACTGCCAGAAGCACTGCCTGAACAGGTGGCTGCGCAGGTTGATCGAGCCGGTAAACGTGAGCACGGGCAGGTAGAGGAACAGCAGCTCGCGAATTTGCTGGTCAGTAACCGGAAGGACTTTCTCTTTCGCGTCGTAGCCACTGACGAGGCGGCCTGCACCGAAGCCCAGCGCCGCAACCACGGCAACGACGGGTATGTTGAAGAAGCGTCGCAGCGCGCGACACACGCCGGCTACGATGGCCACAAGCAGGAGGATGATCACGCTCACCTGCCTGTCGCGCAGGTTGAACTCGACGTCGCCTTGCTTGCCGATCATCGAATTCATCTCTGCACATCTGCGTCTGTAGACTGGCTACGACGAAGAATGAGGCCTGGAGATCGCGATGAAGGCCTCCGCGTGAACCGTGCTCGCGTGACCCGTGCGTCCGAGGGTGTCTTCTTCATTCTCTGCAATGTCGTGTACTGACATACGATGCTGATGCTGAAGACCTCTGATGGATGGCGCTTACCCACAAAGGGGGATGGGCCAAGAACCGGGCGGCAGGATACCTAAATGAAACTAAACTGAAAATGAAGCCAATCTGAAAAAGTAGTTTAAAATAATACTACCAAAAAACAAAAATGTGTGCTGAGCAAGCGGTCAAACCATCTTTTGTTTTTGAAAGACATAACTATGAATTATAAACTAAAGATCTGAAAAGGTAGTGGTTCACTAGCATGGTAATCTTTTAGTTGCGTTGATGTAATCAAACACAGCGGAGCATACATCCCTGTGGCAGTAACCAAATGAAGTTCCCGCCAAGTGATAAAATTACTGGTAAATTTACTTGTATTCCTAGCTTTTGTAATGGGGCTACTAAAAATCTTTTTCTCTGATAAGAATAACGATGACAGAATAAAAAGAAATGTTCAATTGTTTCAATTTTGTTGCACCAAATGTATAGCGGTGACGCCTTGAGCTGAGCTTTATTAAGGTAATAATTTAGTTGTGGAACTGCACAGCACAATCTGGTATAAGTGATCTCTAACTGGCGAGATACACACCACTGTTTATTCCAGCAATAGCTCAAATGCTTGAAATCTTTGAATTTATCCAAATTACATTTTCCCCATTGCAGGCAAGTATTTCGGAACCTTAGTGTGGTTACGTAAGCCGTATCTGGCAAAACTGGGATGGTGGGCCCACCCAGGGATACTGCTGCTAAAGAGTCCACCATTTCGTTCAAATATAATCCGCGGTGGCCTGGTACCCATAGCAAATGCAGTTTTTTTACGTTTTTCGGTACTAAATGCCGAAACGTATTCATCAGCTCTGAATTTACTGCCGCAGAAAGTGCATTACAAACTGATAACGAATCTGTAATCATAACTGCTAATGATTCGCTTGAGGGTAGTTTGCGTAGGGCAAGACAATGGCCAATAATTCTGCCATGAATACCGGGGTATAATCTGGGAGTCGAATCGAAAAGGACCAGTGCAAAAAAGGAGAGAAGATGCCAACCCCAACCTTTTCTTTTGACACAGATGCATCAGTCGCTATGATATTGCTTATCTCTAGGTGGGCTTGATAATCTGCTAACTGGTCATTTAAATACCTATATGCCAATTGTTTCGCGTTATGAGAAAATATATAATTGAATTGTATGCTAAGCATTGACTTTAGGTTGTGTATTGGACCAATATGTCTAATTTTTACATTCAGTTGCTTTAGTAGTGCTTGTGCAAATACTATTTGCGGGGTGTGTAGTCGCGACCAATGGGTTTCAAAAAATAAAGTCGGTTCTTGAATGAGAGCGTAAAATGAGAGTCTTTGGGAGAACTGTATATCTTTAAGAATGCTTGCACAGTAAGAATTTTTAACCTATTTAGCAGACAAGGTAGGCGAGCTTCCATATACAACACGTTATTTGCAACAAACTTCGGTAGACCCAGACACAAACGCAACGCTTCTCTTTCCAGCAGTATTAGGGGTCTCATTTTATAGGCTGCGCTGCCAGAAAATAATACACATCCGAATTCCATGATGGGCCGCACATAAAGTTTATATATCATTATTAGCACATCTCTTCTTAAACCCGCTTTACGGTTTGCAAGCTTCCGTAGCCACCCCATGGCCCGTGTTGCCTTGGAGTACACATCATCAATGTGACTTCTCCAATTTAATGTGTCATTATATATGATGCCCAAATATTTAAGGGAATTCGCCTGCGGAATGAGCTCATTACTGTACATTAACGAGATGTTGATAGGCTGCAGAAAAGAGTATGCAAGGAGCACACTTTTCTTTACGTTCAGGGTCATATGAATATTTTAAGGCATCTTTCTATCATATTGAGATAATTTAGTAGACTCTGGTATAATGATTGAAGGTCGGTATTACTTGCGAAGAGAGCAATATCGTCCGCGTACACATATAACTGAATATCCTTAGTTGATGGAATGGAGCTTAAGAAAATGTTAAATAAAGCTGGCGACAGGACAGCCCCCTGTGGTACGCCACGTGTCTGCTTATATCTATTCGACGAGTACCCATCTTTAAAGCAGTAATATTCTCTCCCTCTTAAAAACTCCGACACCCACGCAGTGATGCAGTTGGGAAAGTGGTGATATTCCATCTGTTTTAATAAAATTGAATGCTCAACTCTATCGTACGCTTTAGCCAAATCTAAAGTAACTAAAGCACAGTATTGGCGCTGACGCCAAGCCAGTTGTATTCGGCTCTCTAAATCAACATGCGCACACCATATTGAGCAACCGGATCTAAAACCAATTTGACTTGGGTTTAATATTGCGTTATTATTAATATATTTCATTACCCGGGCATTCAAAACTCTTTCAATTAGCTTAACCAGATTTGACGTGATTGATATCGGCCTTACATTGTCCAAGGCGAATCCTTTTTCCTGCTTTTTAAGAAGTGGAATCACTTTAGACAGCTTCCATTCCGCAGGTATCCAAGCTTTTGCCAAAGAAAAATTCACCAGATTAAGTACTTCAGTTGGACAAATCTCGAATATTACTTTTATCATTGAATTTGTTACCCCGTCTGGTCCAGGTGCCGAAGGAGATAAGTGCCTTATTATCTCTGCCAGCTCATCTAAAGTAACCTCCTCGAAATCCTCGCCAGCCATTGGCTTCACAATGTGCAGTGTTAGAGTTGACATAAATCTATCTTGGAGCCCTTTCGCAATATTTTATACTAAATCAGAGAGCTCACGGGGAGAAAGAACAGAAGAGTCAATATTTTCAGCGGGTGGTAACATCTTTTGAGATCTTAAAAATCTGAAGAGCGCTTTTTTGTTTTTAGCCCTAGAAGGATACTCATGTAGTTTCATATTATAACCATCTTTTGCTGTACTTACTGTGCGTTTGAAGTCTGCTGCTGCGAATTTATAATCACACTAATTTTTTGGACATTGGTTGACCAGCAGTTGTTTCCATGCAGATTTCTGTTTTCTATAGCTCCTCGTGCACTCTTCAGTCCACCATGGACTAAAAGAACCTCTTGTGGCCGAGTCTAATTTAAACGTTGCGTCTTTTACTGATCTTTTTAACACTGCACACAGACACATAGCCCCAATGTCCCTTTGTATGTCCTTGCGGTGATCAAAAGTAGCCCTCAAGTCTTTTTCTAATTTTCTATAGTTGAGGAATGAGCGGGCCTTCTCGGCGACATGTAGTTTTGGAAAGTTCAGTACAAAACTAATAGGCAAGTGGTCACTGTTAGTAGCACAGTCTAAAGTTTGCCACGAACATATATTTAGAGATGAGCTTGAAAATGTCTAGTCAATTACAGATTTAGACAGACCTCGGATAAAAGTAGCAGATTGCGAATTTAAACAAGATAAATTCTTGTCAATAGCCAATTCCCATAATCGTTTTCCGCTTAAATCTGTTTTAAAACCCCAGGCTGGACTCCCAGCATCTCCGCTATGTCTCTTTTGCAAGGAATCAGAATCAATAGATCATTTCTTTTTATCCTGTCAACGATATTCTTATCAATGGAAAAGATACCTGGTCGAACCGATTGAGAAGCTAGGTTTAAAAATAAACGTGGAAGTAATTTTATCCTTCGGAGGGATTACATTAGGTTATACCCACAGGGAGGTTTACTCTGCCGTGTGTGCGTTCATAATGGCAAGAAAATGATTACCTTGTTAGTCTATTGTTATTATTATTTATGGCTACGAGACTACCTGAGTGTGAATGCCTGACTTATAACTATTACGCTTGATGATCCTGCCGCCCCGTTCTTGCCGATCCCACATTGTGGGCGAGTGCCAGCAAAGCTGAAGGCGCATCATCATCATCATGATACCTTCTGTGTTGCTATTGCTGGCCTAAGTGTGTACAGACTCTTTCAAGAGCCGTATTTTTAGTTCTGGCATGTACAAGGCCTAATGTTTGTCTACAAAAATGATATTTGTGCTTTTAGTGAGGACCCACGACACTTAATAGTAGTGGAACTAGTAAAACTACTTGTCATTCAAAAGCTGATGTTCTAGAATTCTCAGATGAAAGAAGAATATATCACGGAAGGTTTAGAAATTGTTATCGAGTACAAATGAAAAAAAAGCGGCCAGCGTTATTAAAGTTAAAGGAAACCTGAAGCGCCGCCAACATGAACCCGTTGAGAGAGTGATAGTTATTCGCCTGGACACACACCTTACCAAACATTATCAGTGGAGCTAAATTTATTCTAATCGGTAGTATAATGCTGGAATAAACCTTGCGCATACAAACTTCAAGTTGTTATAATGTAGCTAGTTTATTTTTGTGCGCCCTTTTGCTCTGCTCCACCTCCGATTCACGGTTATTTCAGCTTGAATTATTCATCTCTTGGGCTCACTAATTATTTGCAAAAGTATAAATGAGAAATAACAGGAATGGTTAGAAACTTCAGGCTGAGCTTTTTTTAGGAACGTGCGAGATGAGTACTCTTTTCAGCTGGTAAAAAAAATCCCAGGAAATGTATGTAAAAAATCGCAGCATATCCATGGAGTGAATGATGATGAGTGAGGCGAAGCGTCCGTCAGTCCGTCTGTGCTTCCATCTGTCTGTTCGTTCTTGGTTCCGTCCGTTAGTGCGTTCATCCTGCATCAGTCCGTCTGTTCTTGCGTCCATCCGTGCGTTCATCCGTCCGTCAGCGTATCCATGCTTCCAGCCGTTCATCCGTCCGTCCATGCGTCCGTCCGTGCGTCCATTCGTCTCTCCATCTGCTTGCCTGGCTGTCGTCCATGCATCCGTCCATTCGTCCATCTGGTAAACACTCTAAGTACCGCCATCTCGCACATTTTCATCGCGATCGTAGTCGCGCGATCGCCT